AAAACGTGAGCTTTTTATTTTCTTTTTGTTATTCCAAGTACTTGAAAACGTATTAGAATTGGGAAAAAGGTATTTCAGTTATTCGTCAGTAAACTAGATTTTGTATGATTAGAAAAAATTTCAACTCATTTAGCCCAGTTTAAAAAAATGTACGAACGCTTTCGTGGGCTACTCCGACATCCCTAATTTTCCACCGTTTTCCTCGCAAATGCAGAGTAAAAGATCTGGCATAGAACCTATCGATCCACCAGGCTGTACCAGTGTTAAAAGTGGCAAGATTCGCGGCTGTGCTGTCGCCGACGCACAAATCGTCTAAGGGGGATAAGAAAAATGCAAATCGGATCGAGGATTTAAAGCGGGGGCGGTCGAAACACGCGGAAGAAAAATGAGCTCGACGGGCCGGAAGACACACCTGCCGGAAAATTCACTTTTCTTTTAACACGGTCATATATTCGCCGGGTGTGTGCACTGTCTCTCTCCGTCCTCCGCACCCTTGTCCTCGTTTTATACTTGCGGAAAACGCCGGACTCGGTAAACCCGCTTAATGACCGAGCGTTCGCGATTCAATACTTTCTTCCATGTTTGAAGATCTCGTTTCCTTAAAACGTTCTCATCCGTGTGTACACTCCGCGTGAATAGGTCCTTTCGGTTTCGAGGAGAGAGAGAGAGGAAGAGAGAGAGAGAGGAAGAGAGAAAGAGGAAGAGAGAGAGAGGAAAAGAAAGAGAGAAAGAGAGTGAGAGAAAAAAGGAGAAAAAGAGAGAGAGGGAGAGGAAGAGGGAAAAAGAGAAAAAGCGGAAAAAATACGAGAAAACCAACTTTCCCGCGATTTTAATGTCCTTTCTGTGTATTCTGCCGCGCCGAAAGTAGGACAATTTTTGTCGATAAAGTGGTACACGGCGAATCACGCGACGGGATAGAATCTGTTCGGCAGGGTACTTTCGAGGCGAGGTCAGGCGTGGCGGGGATCCTCGGGAAAAGACGCCGATAGTGAAATCCGAAACGCAGTCGCGAAACAAGAACGCGGCTCGGATCCCGTGTAAAGGTCCATTCACATCAAAGGCGCGCCCGCGATGCGCTTATGCGCCGCCCGCGCCAGCCAGAAAATTTCTTATTGGGTCATCCCGAAAGTTCCCACGCGGTTTTATACCGTCCGTTTCGGAAAAACGACCACCCCGAGGATTTTTATTTAGCCCATCGCCAAATTCACCGAGAAAATCGTTGTTCCTGCTTCGCTTTTCGTGGCTGCTGAATCATCGCTTTAAAGTCTCGGGAAATCAAAGGAATTCCGCTAATGAAACCGGAAGAAGAAGTTGCGAGTACGTCACAGTTCTTTGGAGCTCATAAATCTTGATTAAATCTGCTTTGCTTGGACTTGTTGCGAGGAAAAAAGGCACTTTGAAGCGGAGTTGAACAGTATTCGGATTGTTTCGAATAAATATTTATCTAAGATAATGATCCGAACGCATTCCTCGTAAATTCGAATTCGTCGTAAATTATTCTATCGATTCATGCGAATAATTCTATATTCGAATAATTTCTCGAAAAAATTCTTTATTGACACAACTCGAAAAAGTAATATGGAAGAAATAAATCAACAAACTGTAAAAAGAACACTATATTTGATCATTTTTATGCAAATCGATTATTTTCCGTATGAATTCTTGCACGAATAAATTCTTATTCGAATAAAATCTAATTCAAATGAATTCTTATTCGGATAAAATTTTATTCCGATAAATTCTTATCTGGAGGAATTTTTATTCGATTGAATATTTATTCGATAGTGTCGAT